CTAGACAGCACCAGGCCCTGACATGATCCACACCTACTGGCTGAAGAAACTAACTGCACTCCATGAACACCTGGCAGCACAAATGAACCAACTGCTGATGGATGGGACCCACCCAGAATGGTTAACCCAAGGACGAACAGTCCTGATCATGAAGGACCCCCAGAAGGGAACAATCCCATCCAACTACCGGCCAATAATCTGCCTCTGCTCAACATGGAAGCTCCTCTGTTGATCCTGTACTGAGTGCTTCTTCTTGTGCTGCCATGATTATTGCTTCTGTGCTGTCCTTCAGTCCAGCCTTTTCCAGCCACTGCTAGGATTTCTTGATATCAGCCACTTCTTCTATTTGTCTGTGGTACATGCCGTGCAGCGGCTTGTCCCTCCATGAAGGTTCTTCATCTTCCTTGTCCTCACCCTTGGGTTTCTGCTGCCTGAGGTATTCACTAAGCCCTCCATCTTTAGGGGCCATCTTCCTGATGTACTCCTGGATCTTTGTCGTTTCATCCTGGACAGTGGTCTTGACACTCACTAGCCCTCGTCCTCCCTCGCTACGCTTGGTGTCCAGTCTCAGGGTGCTGGATTTGGGGTGAAACATGCATTGTGAGGAGCTTTCTTGTCTTGATGTCAGTAGCCTCTATCTCCTCCTTTGGCCAGTTTATTATACCAGTGGGGTATCTGATGACTGGCGACTGTATGTGTTTATGGCTCAGATCTTGTTTTTCCCATTCAGGTGACTTTTCAGGACCTGCCTTAAGCCTCATCTCTGTAGGTATTTGGCTGTGGCGGACTTCCTTGCTGCCTCCTCATGGTTTCCGTTGGCTTCCAGACCTCCACAGCCCCATTGAGTTCTTGATGAAAGCTATTAGTGTCCTGTTGATCTTGTACATTTGTTTGTATGTATGTATGTATAATTTAATTACTGTCTACATTTATTTATTTGCTTTATTTTTTCTGCATTTAATCAGATGCTTATCTATTTATTGAACATTTATTTATTTCTGTATTTATTTCTTAATCTGTCAGGAACAGTCCTCCATACACTCTCTATCAGGTCTGGTCACTAGACTGCCGGGGGATTTCCCATGATGCACTGAGTTCCTCTCTCCTCTACTTTCTCTCCCTCTGTATGCAACCTCATCCCATTATTGCATGTTACTAACACAACTTCTCCCCTTTCTGGTAGTCTTGTGCTTTCTCATCCCTCTCCTCTCTCCTCCTATCACTTCCTGCAGGTGTTTCTGGCTCTGGAGCTGTGGAGTCTGGATCTGTGGTTGCGGGTCACCTGCTGCCCTCTGCTGCAACAACTATTGTTACTAATCCTATTGTTATTATTGTTATTATAATCATTAACATTACGACTGTTATCATTAACACTACTATAAATATCTGTACCATTTTTCATTTAGTCATTAGCAACATCACCTTTACTGTCTGTACCTCTGTGTGTATATTATGTAGGCTGCCTCCCTCCCCTCTCTCTCTCCTTCCATCTCTCTCTCTCTCTCTCTCTCTCCTTCACCCCAACTGGTCGAGGCAGATGGCCGCCCACCCTGAGCCATGGTTCTGCTCGAGGTTTCTGCCTCTTAAAAGGAAGTTTTTCCTTGCCTCTGTCGCCTAGTGCTGCTCTTGGTGGGAATTATTGGGCTTCTGTAAATAGCATCATAGAGTACGGTCTAGACCTGCTCTTTTATGAAAAGCGCTGTGAGATAACTGTTTTTTTGGTGCTATATAAATAAAATTGAATTGAACTGAATTGAATTTCCATGAGTCTGTTTTGAAGTGGTTTTGGAGCAGCTGCACTTACAGCCTGTCTACACAGGCTGCCTTTCAGCTGCGTTTTTCAGTCGTCTGTCTGAGAGAACAGATACACTTCTATTTTAACCAGTCCACGTATCTACACAGGCTCGGGCTTTACTTAAAGAATTTTAGAATTTATGCTGTAAGTATATTTTCTGTGTAACAACAGTGATTGTGGTTTGTGTTCTGAGTGCTCCCCAAATTCAGGTGACCTACACTCAATAAAGTATATCTTCTTCTAATACTGTTCCTGTACGCATCGTGACAGAGGGCTGAAGGCTCTGCTGCTCTGCTACATGAAGTGTAGACATTGTGTAGCCTCAGCTGTGCTTTGAGCATGCTATGTTGCCATATGTACGTTAATCTCAAGGTTCAGCTGAGGCTGGAAGGAATTCAGTCTTTAGTTTTGTAGTACAGACATCTTTGCCTGGACAAGTGGAAATCCATCCAGTATTAGTTAAGATGTTTCACTCTGGATATTTATAAGTCACTTAAACCACACGACTAGCACATTAACCCAAAATGACATCAAGTCAACATTGTTGTTCTGTGTTTCAGCAGATGATCCTAGCCATCAGAAACCATCTATTTTCAGTGTAGTTGGTTTTGGCTGCAAACCTGGCGGTCTCTCTGTGGGAACATACCAACTGTGACTCTCATTCGTTCTGTTTCCCTTTTTTCTCTCCATCTGCCTCTCTCTCCTCTTTCACTTCATCTCTGAAATCTCTTCACTTCCATTCAATGCGCTTTATATGTCAAGGACAGTGGCGCCAACGTTTCTCTCTCCTTTCAACGTGTTCTTATTGATTCTGTCTTTGTTCCTTTTTCATCCACTTTATTCTATGACTCACCAGTGTCACTGTGGAATCACACGGCACGCAGGAAGAGATATATTTCAGAAGTAATTGTTTACCTTTGTTCCTCTTCAGCTTCTGTGCGATAAAAGCACTTCAAAAGCAGGGAATCACATTCTTGTAGGTGATTCTGATGTTCTTAATCTACATATAAAGTATGCTAGCGTTGCATGTACTTATGCAGAGTGAGACAAAGCAATTTTAGCATTGTGAAAGTTTGCCTAATCGTTTTTTTTCTTTTGAATGCAGCCTTGTTTAAATATGCAATTTTCGGTTTTCATTCCCCTCATGGGTGTCCTTTTAGCAACATAACAAGGCATCGGAAACTTTTATTTATTTTCATCAGAGGGAAAACAAAAAGATCTGCAGCCACCTTCTCATCACACACACACACACACACACACAAACAAATGTTTTACAATAGTCAGTCATGCTTCCTGCAGGAGTTTGTTTGCTTATGTGTCTTTTTTGTCTGTGCATTCGTTTTTGAGGTGTGTTTGAGGTGCAGCAGGTCTGTTTATCATGCACCTCTTATATGAGGCACATACCGACAAAGTAAGGGAAATTCTGCAACCTTTAAGCATCATATGTGAAGTTCATATAGCGAGTTCTCTTAGAAAAGCTATTTTAACAGTCCCGAAAATACAGCTGTGGTGATTTAAAAGCTGTGTCACAGATTTGAGGTCTGGTGTCATCAATATATTGACCATGACTGCTGGTAATTTTAGGGGAGTTGAGAAAAATAACCTTTGCAGATGCGTGAAATTGCTTAAACGGAACGGAGTAGCACAGAATCCTGAAGCTGGAGAAATATAATCTACTGATCAACAGCTGCAGGACACACACACACCTGTGGCTACCTGGGTTTTGTGGACTTCTGGTATTTATTAAGAAATATGCGTAAAAGCCAGGGCATGTGAAATTAAAATTCTTTTACATTGATGTTGTGCTCCAATTTAATTGTCTCCATCTTTTTAATTCCAGTCGAGTGCTGATTATTATCCACCAGGTTTTAGTCGTATTTGCAAGTATTGGATGGTTTTGACATTTATACTGACACTGGTCCTTCTGGTGTACTAGTCTACATCACATTCACCCGCATTCACATTCATAGTGAGCACTTTGGGGTTCAGTATCTTGCTCAAGGACACTTCGACATGCAGGCTGAAGGAAGCCTGAGCCTCCTGAGCCACAGCCCCATGATGCGGAAATATTTTACTAATCTACCCAGTAGTATACAAAGTTCCTCAAATTGGCTCCACACCATTACAATGCAATTATAGGTATTTTTGTTAGTGATAAAAACAGAATATAATATTCTAAAATAATATGACACTGTGAATGGAGCCATTCTGCATACTTTAAATACAGTGTGACAATACAATTTTGTAGGCCATGGTATCTTTGTACTCTTACTTAAATGATCTGAGTACTTCCTCCACCGCTGCTATTTTGACTGCTATTTGTAAAAAACTGAATGTATCTGTAACCATTGTTGTGTTTGGCTAGAGCTGACACTGATGATGGCCTGATGACAGAATGATGCATACAGTATGATGGTTTAAAGTGTATATGACGTGTATCCCTGTTTGGCTCCTGATGAAGGTGTAAGCAGAAATGAGCTTTGAGCAAAATGGTGTCTGAAGAAGACGTCTATGATCCTCTTCCTTCAAACTGAACTTGTTTTTGCAAACTGAAGACTATTAACAAACCACCTTAACACTACAATGCCACTGTCCAACTTTGAAATGCTGCAATGATTAAACCTGATCAGCTTTGTACCTGCAAGCTTCTTCCAGTTACTTTGCACGCAAAAATGGCAGCATTGATCAAACAAAACCGCTCCTGTGCCTTCAACCTTGAAATACCCCTCTGAAATGTGTGCATGTGTCAAATGTTACTTCTCCGACATTTTCCTGCACTCTCCTGTTACCACTTTGACATAATAAAAATGGTAATGTGAAGAAAATATACTTAAATACAGAGGATCATATGATTCTGAATGGTACGCACTGTTGTTTTTCCACTTCAAAGATGGTGAAGAGGAATTGTTCTGCTACCACATAATCTGATATATGAAAGAATAACATTAGAGCAGTTTAATAGATATGGTCTTGTGATTCAATAATTTCCTTCCTGCAGATCAAAACAGTATTATCTTATCTCATATTAATATTGGTGTATAGTTTATAATAAATATAGTATAAGTTTAGAATATCGAATACTCCCACTTTGTACTGTGACTGTCAGTAGCTCACTGAGAACATGTGTTGACTAATCTATCTCCCTGACTAACATCTAAACTGTGACATTCAAATAAATCCTTAAGGAATCAGAAAATAGATTTTGTTTATGTTTTAATTGATCACACTCAGGTAAAACAACCATTCCACAGACTGAAACAAGCTTCTGTAATCGCAGTGTTACACAAAACAAGACAAATGCCCACGAAGCGGGACATTTAATATCCATTATCAGTTTGTTATCTGAAAACTTTCCATGCTTTTTAAAGGATGTAAAAAAGCTGTAATTTCACAACAGCAATGCACAAAACATGCAGACACGTCTCTTAACGAGACTCACAATGTGTGCTGAACAAAGAGTTTGTGTGACAAACAAACATCTAAATGATGCAGTCCTGCTCCTGATCCAGTCTTCGGTACCTGAATTTTCTTTTTAGGTTTTGGTTGTGTTTTTTCTCTGGAAAGGCATGAGGAGCTTGTGTGCTCGGAGTCTGAATTTCTGATCCCTCACACTGTAAATTATGACATTCCAGCAACTGTTGGTGGTCAAAATCCAGAAGGCGAAAAAAGAAAAGTTGCACCATTTATTCCCCAAAACGTTCCCGACCACAAAGACGGCGATGGGGGTGAACGACGCAGTAAACGCCACAGTCAACGTCCCAATAGTTTTGGCCGCTTTGATGTCAGAGAAAGTAGGTTTGGTGGTGCTTTGGCTTTCTGTCTCGGCCAGGTGTTTCCTGCGTTTTGAATGCTGTCTGATGCTGGACAGAGAGATGATGTTAATGACCACAGTTCCACCGAGGAGGGTGAAGTCAAACGCGGGGAAGAGAAGGAGGATGTTCCAGGCCTGGCTGGGGAACTCGCCGATGGTTCCCAGTGCGTAATTACACATCCGGCTGCAGGAGTTGTACTCCAGAGCGATCTCACTGCTAAAAACCATCGGAGACACTGCCAAGAAGAAACTCCCCACCCAGGAGAGGACGATAAGGATCGTGGTCCTTTTACGTGTAATCACAGAGTCTTTGTGCAGAGGCCTCAACACGGCGATGCTCCTCTCGATTGTCAGCAGGAAAATGGTTGTGATGGAGACCAAGGTGCACCCCGCAAAGATGGGGCCGATGATGTTGCACGGGTGGAAACTCACCGACTGCGAGTTGTATGAAGTCCACTCCGGTGCCGAGTCGGTCACCATGAGATAGACCTCGGCGTAGACGGACAACGGCACCACGAATATCCCAACCGCCAGATCAGCCACAGCGAGTGACGCCTTCAGGTAGCCCTGCGGCGTGTGGAAGTGTTTAGTCCCGAGAACCACAGCCAGAGTCACCAAGTTCCCAAACAAGATCGCGAAGATGAGCAGCACCATGAAGAGCACCATGAGGATTTTGTTGGCCAGTGTACAGCAGCACACGGTGCAGTGTGCCGGTTCAGTTCTGTCCAACATGGTCGGAGTGCTGGTGTCAATCATAGGATAAACTGTCGCTGCAACATTCACTTCATGACCTAAAATTAAAACAAACAGAGGAACATGTCGTGTCAGAGTTGCAAAAACTGGTCAGTTAAATTGTTAGGTTGACCTACACAAAAAAAGTGCATATATGAAAACATCTCTAGAGTTGCTCCTCCAGTTTTGGAGTGACATTAAAACTCTCCTGGTTGAATCATCAGCATAAAAGATGAAGAAATGTGTTAGAAAATTTCTTGTTTATTGATAAAAAAGTCAAAGGTATGAGCCTGTTGATGCAAAGACGAAAAGAGAGACGTCAACTCCCATGGTGCATTTCAGTAAGAAACATTCAATCTCAGAGCTTTGAATTCGGTTGCATGCACTACTAAGGGCAAATGAAGGCTTACAATAAAAAAAAAAAGAGACTGTCGTCACCAGAAAAAACATATAGGTTTGTTTGTACAAGCACATTATTACAACCCATATTAATGTTTGTTGTGGCTGCAACCTCTAGTGGGCATACAAAAATAGCAAAGGAGCAAGAAAGTCCATGTAAGGAGGTAGCATGGGGTGGTGGATGGGTCAAACCCAGGACTTTCACTCAGGAGAAGGGCGTTCGAGTCTCATGTGAAGCCAAGTAAATTATTTCTGATTTCTTACTTCAACCCAAACCTCAATGTTTTCCTAAACCTAACCAAGTAGTTTTATTACTTAAACCTAACAAAATGCAACCATTTCACAACATTAACCACGTGTTTAATGTCATGTGACTTACGCAACATAGTTAAGATCCGGTCGCCTGTCGCTGACCTGGTACAGGAAATGCTCAAAGGCTATGTGTCTGTTTGGGAGGCACTGACAAACAGCCTATTTTGTGAAAGGCTGGAGGACAGGTTGACAAGAAACCTAACACTACAACCACATTGTTACTCAGGATGTTGACACTGTGTTTAATGACAAATGTTTATTTTTCATTTCTGACTGATTGATTGATTGATGTTAAGGATAATTGTGTCTATCTTTTTTGTGTGTTTGTTAGCAAAGCAGACATTTTTGTCCTCTCTTAAGAAGACTGTCTAACACAAATTTATATTTTCTACTTTGTGCCCGGATCATGTGCACATCTGTCTCGCCTCTGTTACACCGACCCTCTAAAGTTAGTTTCTGTGTGTTAAGTTTTGTGAGGCCTTTGGATTCACAATTTTAAAATGCACAACTTTACCCTAAACCCTGTTCAAATTGCAGCAACTACCTACTACATAATGCTGTGTCCTGTATTGTGTATCGTCGAAATGGTTTGAGGGCTGTGTTCCTCTGCTTATTGTAGTATGTTTGTTCATCCTTACATTATTTTTGCACCTTGGTCCGTACGAAACAACATTTTATTCAGTTGTATGATTGTATGCCGAAGAACTTGACAAGTTTATCAGCTTTAACAAATTTATGCATTTCCTTATTTCGACATATTAAGGTTATGGAAATCACATGTCTATACAAAACTACAAAGTTTTCACCATAAAATACATGGTAGCAGGAAACTGGGCGTAGATGTGATTTAAGCCCAATTTCATTTGGTCATAACATTTTTTTTTTGTGAAAGCCAGCTCAGAGCTGTAGCCCCTTCATCCCCTTTTCCATATCAGCTTGCATGGCCTACACATGTACTGTGACCTCTGACATCAATACCCTGTTAATGAAAGACTTATTGTTGGCAAGCTGTAGTAGAGGTGCAGTATAACATTATGTCTATAAATCTAACAAAACTATATTGACATGGAGGTTAGCTTACTAAAACCTAAGCAACCAGGTTATTTGGTGAAAAATGACTAAATAAAGTTTCTGCAGAAGACGCACGTTCTCACGCCCATTCCCCGAAGACAACAGTGTGTCATGCTTCTGCTCTAACGTCATTGGTCACGGCGGATTGACACGATTAGCTGCTGACTTAGCAAAGTGTTGTCATCTTTGTAACAGCCCACACAGCCGGAGGAACGCAACTGGTTTGACGTGGCTTGTTGACATGCAGGCGCACTCACGTCAGGTCGGCCGGACAGCCCTGGTGCTGGATGGATGGATGGATGGGTGGATGGATGGATGGAGGGATGGGTGGATGGATGGATGGATGGAGGGATGGATACTACTTACCCCAGAAGGATAATATGACATCATAATCTGGCCGGACAGCTGTAGTAGTAAACAAAACGCAGCTGGCGCTTGCGCATCTTTAATCCGCTGCAAAGTCAAGCCGGTTCCTGGACATCTTCCTTCAGTTACACTTATCTTTAAAGTCTAATTTACGTATATTTAACTAATAGGGCGCTTATTATTAAATATACATTTGCACCCATTGGGCAGTTTTTCAAATGTCCTCAGGACATAAAGCGGGAAGGTGAAACTCTAAAAACAGACATGGTCATCAGGAAAGCCTCCAGCGCGCCCTGGAGCTCCATTTGATTTAGAAATGTTCCTTATTGTTATTTTTCAGTTAAAAAGTCAACAAGAGATTTCTTATTTAAATAAATATTTAACAAAATGTTTTCAGTTTTAAGGATTTCCATGTTCAGAAATATGTCAAAGACGCAGCTACAGGCTGTGCTGTCATTACTTATTTTGCTTTTCCGTTTCAGATGCCGTGTCCTCAAGCTTTTGTTTTCACTTTATATCCATCTACAGCGCGCAGTCATGCAGAAGCCTCCCGCATATCCAGCCAATAATCCTCAAGATGCAAAGAGGCATCACTTTCCAGCGCGCACGGATCAACGCTGTCCAGCAAGTCTGTGCGTCTTACAGGACTCACTTTAGAAAACCCGCCACAAGATTACTGCCACAGTCACTCTGTTTTACATTTTCTCAAAGGAATGCACTTATAATTTTGGCTGTTCCAGTTTAGGGGAACCACACAGACCTTCTGGGTTTTTGCGCGCTTCCAGCTTCTCTGGAAAATAACTGTTTCCCGACATTATAGAATGATAGCTCATCCACTCACTCATGTTTTCATGTTTAGATAATATTGAATATAACAGGCAACTCTACTCACTTTCAGGTCTCAACTCCCTTCAAGACGCAGAATCGAGCCGTCCGTGAAGCAACATTTCCCAGGTGGATATCCACACAGCGGGTTTCCCACCGCAGTTTAAAACATCCCGCAGTACTCAAGATAATCAAAGAATCCAAGGTCAGAATCAGAAAACTCACTTTCCAGTGTGCTGATCGGGAAGATGTGTCCGCGCCACCAGGTGCTGCGCTCTGGTCCGCGCTGCTCCGGAGACAGGGTTAAAGTGTCTCCTCCGGCTGGTTTCTCCATTGGCTGAGGATGTCGATGACAGAGACCCCCCCCACACACACACACACACACACACATACACACACTCCCGCACATCAGAAGGTGAGGACAGTCTTGTCCTCGGCTAAAGAAGAATTTCCCATCATTACCCTGGTATCTAAAATAGTACCGAATTTCCTCTTTTCAGTGTTCACTGATTCTTCGGCCACTGCAGCCTGAGTCATTGCTACAGCCTGAAAATAAGTATCACCTGGCCACTTCTAGTTAGACATGAGAAACTCACACTCATTTTCTTTTCTGTCACATTTATTTTTTTGACAGTTCATTGTTGCAAAGCCGGATTACCAAGCAGGCAAAGTGGGTAACTTTCCCCAAAACTGTAGAGACCCTGAAAATCCAGACTTAGCCTATGTTTGTATAATTTCAGTAAAATTACTAGTTTGTGCAAGACGTTTTGTAATCTGTGGCTAACACACCGGTGGAAACGAGGGGAGAGGAGTTTGTAGTGTATGTAGAGGAGCTGCTAGCAAGATTTATTTGCTAAAGTTACACAAATCTCCTCTCTCCAACAAGGGGCCTTTCTCATTTCCCAAATTTGTGCCTCCTTGAAGAAACTCTCAGTTCCTAAATGTGCCTTGAGGAGCAAGGATTGAGGAGGTACAAATTTGGGAAAAGAGAAAGGCCCTATGACTCTCGTTTCCACCGGCGTCTTCCTGCAACAACTTGCCTCTCACAAGACTTCAAAAACGAGAATTGTCCTCGAGCGGGACTTCAGTTGCAACAAAAGGGGCCACCTGGTATAATGGTCTGAGCCTGCTGCTGGCGAAAAAAAGTATGCCATTTTGATGGGCACAATTAACCTGAACGTATACGTTGCAGGCGCTGTAGCCGGTTCAGCTGCTGTCTGAAGCATCTACTGCACAGATTCAAAAAATTTTGTTATAGGAAAATCATACTGATCGTAAACTTTGATGTATGCACGATAAAAGCAAAGTATCAAATGGCATGATAAAGACCTTAAGGGGGGGTCCTGCTTTGTTACCTGATCTTGAGTCCCTGTATTGAGAGGGGCCCTGTTTATGTGGTTTATGCTGAAATTAGGAACATGCAACAGCATGACTTAATCAAATCATTACACAGCAAATGTGGAAAGAGATGAACCCTAGCACAGGGTGTGGTTGATCCAGACATGTATAATCGTAGAGATAGAGAAAGAGAAATGTGACCATCAGACCTTTAGGCCTCGTTTTCTGTCCTGATGAGGAATTTGATTTCTGCACAAAATACCTTATCCATATGGTAAATGTATTGCTTTTATCCAAAGTGCTTTCCATTCACATACTCACACTCTGATGACGTAGCCCTGTCTCCTATAAATTATGTTTATATTGTACTAAGTTGTTTTTCCATTCCAGACTCTGGGGGACTCCCATCTGTGTTTAGGTTTAGGCAACAAAAGCACTTTGGTTAAGTTTATAGAAAGGGTTGACACATTGGGTCGAAAGTCACCAAAACCACAATCTTTCACTAATCATATAAAGTGCTGTGAGTTCCAAAACATAACCTTAAACAAGTTTAATAATGCAGTCCTCACTACAAGCAGCTATTGTATATCAGATATTGCAACGAGCAGGTGAGAGGAGATCGTTTGTCACTTGGTAACAAGTTTGAAATTAGGTTTGTGATATGCAAATGTTCAACCACATTATAAAACTCCAAAAGGATAATCAAACACCGCAGCCTTCTTATGAAGTTATAATTTTAATATTTTTATTTATTGATCAATCAGGGAGCAATAAAAGAAGAAACTGTAACATTCCACCATTTTAAAACTTCACAGGTTCTGTTTCTTCAGTAAATACTTGTGAACGTCTGTTCCCCTTTTGCAAATCTATACTGGAGCTGCCTGCAACTTTGTGGACTGTAAATAGTTTTTTTCAATTGTTGATCTATCTGTTATCTCTAATATTCATAAAAAACCTTCACTAAAGACGAAGAAAAGTGGCAGATCTTAGCAACTGGGAAGTTGGAACCAGAGGATATTTAGGATTTTGCTTTTTTTTTTTCAGTTCAACATAATTGTTTGTATCTAGGTCTTCCTGTAATGCAACTATCTCGTGACTCACTCAACTAATCTATTGATCATAAACCTTCTGCATTGTCTTTGTCTTTTATATTGTTTTACGTAATTTTTGCAACATCTATTCAGTGCATGTTTAGTTGTTAGTTGTTGCTTATTTTTCTCATCAATGCAGTTATCCACTGATACATATAATATATATAATAATTAGGGATGCACCGATACCACTTTTTTTCAGACCAAGTTCAAGTACTTACTTTTGGGTACTTGCCGATACTGAGTACCGATATGAGTACTTAATAATACCATTACAGTTCTTACAATTTGTTAGTTTTATTTGCATGTTTTGTTCTTACCTGACTGTAACAAATACATCTTGATGCAGTTGCTGTCATTTTAACATTCAACTTTTCCTGAAGAAACACGGCATTTTCTGCTACCCATTTCACATAAATTTAACTTCTGTTTTTATTCTTTCTGTTCAACTGTTGAAGAACAAATGAAAGGACACTGTATGTTATCATATGTAAGTGCTGTCTGTGAGCATTAAGTCCTTTTGGAATGCCCCACGTCTGGAGCATATTATCAAACGCACCTGCTATGGCTTGGCCAGTGTGCGAACCCCGAAAATGCTTTGCTTGTAGAACGACTCTCTGTGCAGTAAATTCTCCATCAATCCACTGCGCAGTTAAACTGATGAGAGACATTGGGCTGACACTGCTAGTCCAAATATCAGTGGTGAAGCTGAAGGCCGAGATGTCCTGCAACAGGTTGCTGATATGCTTTTTTACAAAGTCATGCAGCTTCGGTAATGCAGTGTCTGTGATGTGGTGACGGCTGGGAATTTCATACTTTGGCTCAAGTACGCTAAGAAGACGACGTAAGCCAGTATTATCTACAACTGACAACGGCTGGTCATCAAGAGCAATGAACTGGGTAAGAGCTTCTGTTATTTTTACCGCCCGTGGGTTGTCTCTGGACATTTTCTCTCTCTTCTCCAGAGTTTCTCCAACGTTGGTTGTCGTAAGTTAGTTTCCCGCTGCTAGCATTGGCAAACTCCTTGAACTCTGTGGTATGTTGGTTCTTTAGATGTTTAATCAAATTGCTTGTGCTAAAGGAACTATTTTTCACCCCTCCTCTCGACAATCTAGCAGAGCATATTTTGCAGTCTGCTCTAGTTTTGTCATCGTCACTTATTGTAAAGAATCTCCAAACGGCTGACATTGCTTCTCTTCCGACGTTACCTGCTCATCTGAGGAGACGTTAACGTTAGCTCACACGAAAGGCTACGTTGCCGTAAAAGGGTATCGAGTGCTGTTGTATCGGAGTAATTCTACAAGTACGAGTACATGAGCGCTGTATCGGGTCGAGACCTGAGTACTGGTATCGGTATCGGTGCATCCCTAATAATAATAATACATTTTATTTGCAGGATTCCTTTTTAAACACTCAAGGTCATCTTACATTCCAGTGGTCCTACAAAGGTGAAATTAAAGTGCATAATACAAACAGTACAAATAGAAAAAAAAAGTCATTGTCATGTTTTGGGGGGGGTTGGTTGTTTATTTTTCCCTCTTTGTCATGTTTTTCCCATTTCCTTGTGTGTTTATCACTTCCTGCGTCTAGCTTTGTTTCATGTTTAGTCTGATTAGTCCTGATGTCTCTCACCTGTGTTCAATTACCCTGGCCCCTCGGTAGCTCCATATCGATTTGATTGTTCCTTTTGTTCTTGTTGGTTCATTCGTTCTTGTTGTCAAGTGTCTTCCCTGTTTTTGGACTACCCTGTGATATTGTGGATTTCAGTGTGGAGGTACCCAACCTGGGTGGATTTCGGATTTTGGAGTGGGGTCAGGTAATCAGGTATTGCCAGGGTCGCAGTATGGGGGGGAAAGTTTGGACAATTCCAAGGGCCCCTGACTGACAGGAGCCCCAAAAAATAGGTAAGAACTAATATCAAACTATATTATATTAAATATTACATAAACCATCATTAAGTATTCAAATATTATAATAAAATGAATGATCTATTTGTTTTTGTCAGTAAAAGTTAAAAATCCCCATTGACCAAAAAGTAAACCTCCATACTGACCGACCACCCCCCTGTATCTGCATGAAATAATTTGGTCCTGCCTTAGCGCACTCATCAGTGACGGTGTTTAGATGCAGTCAGTAGATGCGCCAGAACAGTAATCACGATGTTGCCTAGTAAACCAAAATCTGGTTTTCCAAAAAGGAAAGAGAGAAAAGACAAAGAAAAGGATGTTAATCTGTAACCCAGTTTTTCCCCAAGAAAGGTGGGCAGCCTTTAGTCTGTGAGTGGTGTTAACCTGTTGGCTTAATGTCCACAGTGAAATAAGCTAGCTAGCTACAGACTAGTGTTAGCCTACATTTCATCAACATTTAATCAGTGCAGGGAAACGTTTAGCAAGATATTCATATTAAATCATTGTCCCTGCCCTTTAAGCAGACTAACAACAGATGAGTCAGCAGCAGCCCAGTCTCCCCATAACTGTAGCCTCCCTGTCCCCGTGAAGAAGGGGAGCAACATTGTGTTAATGCCAGGGAGTCTGTGGGGATTTCTCTGTGTCTCTTGCTCTTTTTACCGTAACAAAAATGACAGAAATTACACAAATTATTTTCTCACATAATGATCATTATGAAATAGTGGAAACAGTGAGTAGCTTACCTCAGCCTGCATGTAAGTTACAGACAATATTAAAGTAATCCAGTTCATTTAGATTGAATTATGGCCGTTAAATGTTAATGTTAAGAGAATTTTATCTCTTAATTTTACAATAAAAATACATTGAGACTGTTGAAGATTCCCCTGAGGACATTTTTTATGGTAGCTTTTAATCTTGTAACAAATGGTGAACTGCATACTTTATGCAGACATGCATGTACAAATCACCAGCAGTA